GTTTCAAGACGGGTCGGGTGGGCGACCGGACCTCGCCGCAGACCCCGGGCGCCCTGCGTGGCGCACCCGTCGCCGGCGACGCGCGGGCCGTTGCGACGCACTGGGAACAGTCCGTCGCGGTGGAAAACACCGCACGAAGGGGACGGGGTCCCGGCCCCCGCCTCGGCGAGCCGAGGCTTGGGAGCAGGCGCGGCGGTCGATTGCCTGTCCTCGGTCCGACAGCGGGCGCCGCACGCCCCCGGCTATAACTCCGGAGACCCGAAGGCCCCGGGCACCTTCCGCGGGGACGTGGCCGCCGTCGAACCGTTCGCGCCCCCCCCCCGGAAGAAGTGCAGCGGGTCCGCACGCCTCGGCGCCGGCCGATCGGTCTTGCGATCCATGCTCGGCCGACGGGGCGCGGACGGACGCCGCCTGAATCCTCCGGGCGGACCTTGCGGGCCCACCCGTTTACCTCTTAGCGGTTTCACATACTCTTGAACTCTCTCTTCAAACTACTACTAGTTCTTTTCAACTTTCCCTCACGGTACTTGTTCGTTATCGGTCTCGTGTCCGTATTTAGCCTTAGGAGGAGTTTACCTCCCGCTTTGGGCTGCATTCCCAAACAGCCCGACTCCGAGGAGGCGCAGACCGAGCGCCGCCTTCGCCGCCATGGGCCTGACACCCGCTCTTGGAGAGGCCTCGATCAGAAGGACCTGGGCGACTCAGAAACAACCTTCAAAGACTTCTTAAAAACAAGTATACGTCGTTCCTGGATAACCTTGGACTTTTAGTTCATAGGAACCCGAAAAAGTTCTGGTCTTTTTCAGTTCCAAAACAAAATCCCGATGCCTTCCACCTGTCATAAAATCTGTTATTTCCGAGGCGACTACAGCCAAAGAAAAAGCAGACATGTTTAATGTGTACTTTCATTCAGTGTTCACAGTGCCCAATGTTAGACAACTTCTGCCTGAAATCTCTGTTTTTGAACATCCATGTCTAGGAAATATTATTTTTTCAGTTGACGAAGTCCGAAATGTATTGATCAACCTTGACTGAACCAAAGCAATCGGTCCCGATGGAATCTCACCAGCCGTACTTCGTGAGTGCGCACATGTTATTGCACCACAGCTGACTGATCTGTTTAACAAAAGTTTAAACCTAGGCTGGGTCCCAGCACAATGGAAGGAAGCAAATATCTGTCCCGTGTACAAAAAAGGCCGCAAAGATTTAGTTGAAAATTATCGCCCAATTTCCCTTTTGAGTATTGTTGTTAAAGTGATGGAGAGATGTTTGTTTGATCGTATCTTTCCTTATTTAAAGCACCAAATCTAACCCCTACAACACGGTTTTATCAAGGGCAAATCTTCATCCACACAACTACTTGAAATCTACCAAGAAATTGGCTCAATCCTAGACCATGGTGGCCAAGTAGACATTGTATATCTAGATTTTTCCAAGGCATTTGATTGCGTCTCTCACCAGCTACTAGCCCATAAGCTCAAAATGTATGGCATCCATTCTAGTTTACTGTCCTGGTTCCATAGTTATTTATCTTGTCGGAGACAACGTGTAATTGTGGAGGGCTCGTGCTCAGATTGGCTTCCAGTAGTTTCCGGAGTCCCGCAAGGGTCGATCCTTGGACCTCTATTGTTCTTGTTATTTATAAACGATCTTCCTTTGGCTGTAAATAATAGAATGGCCCTTTCTGCCGACTATTCTAAGTGTTATAAGCAAATCTCAACTATCAGAGACTGCGTCTCTCTCCAAAGAGACATTGAGTGTATGTGTTATTTGGGTGATACCTGGTTGATGAAGTTTAACCCAGAAAAATGTAAAATACTCACAATAAGTAGACAAAGAAACCCAATAACTTTCACTTACAAAATGGTTGATACTGTTCTCGAGACTGTAGCTGAATTTACTGATTTGGGAGTCCTGACTAACGGTCACTTAACTTTTAATTCGCATGTTCATAGCATTGTATCCCTTTGGGATTCATTAAGAGGTCCGTAGGTTTTCACGCTCCTTCCAACGTTAAAAAGCTTTGTACCTCACCCTTGTGAGAAGCAAACTAGAGTACTGTTCCGTAGTTTGGTCACCCTACACAAACAACCTTATATCCGCAGTTGAGAAAGTCCAAAGACGTGCTTCTAAGTACATACTTAATGACTACACAAGCGACTACAGGGCCAGATTATTACACTGTTCACTCTTACCACTCTCCTACAGACGTGAAATTCTAGATCTATGTTTCTTATTCAAATGCTTCATTGGACATTACAATATAGACATTAATAAATATATCAAATCTCCTCACCGTTCTTTAAGATCAACCTCCCAGTTCAAACTGCAGCCGGAAAAGTGTCTTACCACAACATTCCAAAATTCCTACTTTCAAAGAATAGTATACATATGGAACGCATTACCAGTTAACACCAGGTCTCTTAAAACAAGTCCAAACGTCTCATTTCTTACCTTTAGAAAGCTCGTCCTCAGTCACTACCACCACCTTTTGTCCGACATATTTGATCCTGATAACATTTACACCTGGCATACCCTATGTTCGTAGACTCCATTATTTGTTTTCTTATAATCATTATTAGCGTTCTTATTGTCACTATTATCATTTGCTCACTTATATTTTATGTGTCCGTGGGCATGTTTTTATTTGTTTGTCATTGGTTATGATTGTTTCTTGTTTTATCTGTATATGTTTGCATAAGTCTTTGGTGTTACTTTTTTATTTTATTATGTTTTTAATTTGGACGTACAGGGGGCTAAGACAAAGGCTAGACCTGTTCCCCCTGTCCAATTACATACTTTGTTATGTAATGAAGCTGAAATAAATAAAGAAATAAAAAAAAGATAGTATTACCCATGCTATGAATGGTAAGTTTGGTAAATTCAAGATTTCGTGCAAGCGAGATCAGAAAAATTCCTCTTCTGGTATCTTTTTCGGATCTGCGGGATTCGTAAATCCATATGAGGTCATATGAATGCCAAGTGGGATCTTTTTGGATCTGTGGAAGCGAATCTGCATCTGGTATCTTTTTTGGATCTGTGAAACTTGGAATCCATGCGAATCCATAGTAAGAGTCAGTCAAGTGCGAAATTCTGATACTCACAAAATTCCCTGCGTTTCTGGTATCTCTTTCGGATCTGTGGAAGATAGGTCCGCAAGATCCCACTTCTGGTATCGTTTTCGGATCTGCAGAACCGTGATCCGTGAAATCCCGCTTCCGGTATCTCTTTTTGTATCTGCAGAACCGTGATCCGTGAAATTTCGCTTCGGGTATCTTTATCGGATCCACAGAACTTTGATCCGTAAAATTCTGCTTTTGGCATCTTTTTCGGTGCTGCGGGACTCGGGGAATAGCATCTGTGCCAAGTGCGAAATTCTGAGATCCACAAAATCCCGTTGCTGCTATCACTTTCGGATTTGTGAAAGCGAGATCTGCGAAATCCCGCTTCTGGTATTTTGGTCGGATCTGCGGAAGTGAGATCCGCGAAATCCCGCTTTCTGTCATTTTGTTCGGAAACTGTGGGAGAGTCCAAAGCAGCAGTGCCCTGTGGGTTATTTTAGAATCCGTTAAATTCCCGGCATCCGGATTTGCTGAAATCCGTGGTAGTACATACGACGCCTACATTGGTATTTACTATATCTGTCAGGATCCGAGGCAACTCCAGACTCCCCCCAAAAAACGGACTTATAACATATCCGAAAAAGAAGGTTCCTTGCGAATATCAAATTTGTATCTGTGGTTTCTCACGGATCCGGACGTATACGGTGCCGGAATTGTCGGATCTGCAGTGCAACTTCGTATTCGAGCAAGGATTGCGGATTTCTCCGGATTTGCTACGTATCCGTCATGATGCACGATTTCGGATCTTCAGGATTTGCTATAATCCGAGGCCATTTCGTACAGTGTGACTGAGTCTCGGTGCTCTGTCCCCTCCAGGTTTAGCTCTGGAGTTGTATGAACTTCTAATTCCCGTGATTCTAAAATTTAAAACGGGTTCTAAAACCCGAATTTGGCAATTTTTTACCGTTTTTTCTCATGAAATAAATTATTGACATCTAGTTCGGACAAAATGACGAAGGTTCAGTGTATAGTGACCTATACCAGCTTGCTAAATGTTTAATTGGAGGAGAAGAAGAAGAAGAGGAAGAAACTGAGCAAAAACACTATGGTTTCTTCTACAAAGGTTACATAAAAACATTTTTGAACAATATGAAAACTACAGTTAATAGTCTTTTTTGATATAATTTATATTGCATATTTCTCTTCGAAGACATGCCTGGCGGATCGAAACCGATAGGGAGGAGAGTGAGCGCATCAAAATGTTTCCTCGGTATCACCGTGGTGCTCGTTTTCATGAGCTTGCTGATGTACGGTGTTCAGGTATATTATATACGTCACATGGATAATGTAATACAAGATATATTCTTTTTACAATCTCAGCAACACGTTTTTATTAAAAGTTAGAAAGCGGCTGGTACAGAGTCTTTGTATCCAGAACCATGAAGACGCGGTTCTGGATAGCCCATGCGTATCTAGAATCGTGCCTGAGGCAAATCTACCGCGGTTCTGGATAGGCCATGCGTATCAAGAATCGTGCCTGAGGCAAATCTACGTTACTCTTCGGTGCCAAATTTGATACACACAGAAGAAAAATATTACGCAATTCTGCACATCGGCATTGACAGTTCGCATTGAATGTTTTTTTAATTCACTGCTACTTTTATAAAATCACAAATTATTCTTTTTTTTATTATACAGGATACATCATGGAAACCTTCACCAAACCCTCCTGCCATATGCCCAAAGAAATCTGTACCTCATCCCCAACCCATACAATCTAGGACCACTGTTCCCCATCCCATACATTCTAGAATCATTACACCGCATCCCCGACCCATACAATCTAATGCCACTATACCAAAACCTACTACTGTCAAACAGCTTTTTCCGGAGATACATGGCAAAAAACTGAACGTTTCTATACACCAATATTCGGATATGTACTTTAAACAACTAAAGTTTTCTTTACAGTCTCACTCCGCTGAAAACCTCTCGGTCGGAGACACGTTACGCGTTGTTTTTTCGGCTAGAAACAAACAAGGGAACATAATAACCAATACAGGGGACTATTTCCGGGCGTCCATTTTTAATCTCAAAACTAAGTCTGGTGCAGTTGGGATTATCACGGACCACAAAAATGGTACGTACACGGCAACCTTTAAACTGTTGTGGCCGGGAGAGGTGAACATTATTGTCAAACTTGTTCACCCACGTCAGGCTATAGAAGTCATAGAGAGAACCGTTTGGGAGCATCCTGTAGATAAGATAATGTTCCTGAAACGGTACCTCATCGGTAAGGCTAAAGTCGACACCAGGTGTAACGTAGACCCGGCCGTGTTGAACAACAACACCCCGGTGTGTAACTACTCCGACTCGCAGGCAGGAGTCAGGTGGTACTGTGAGAAAGCCGCCAACATCTTCTGTAACACATCCGGGTACCACGGCAGGCTTCCAACGACTGTCAAGCTGCTGAGAAAAGGAGAGGAAAAACTGTTTGGCAGGCATGTATTTTATCATTGTTCTGCAAGGATGACATCGAGTAACATTAAAAAAAAACGCAAGGATTTTTTAAAGGCACCAAAACAAATTTTCGAACAGTTACTGGATTTTCAAAGTCAATGTTTTTTTTTTTAATTTCTTTAAAATAGCATACGTAAGCTGAACGGACCCTAATCAATAGCATACTGACACATAGCACCTGTGAGAAGAAAACGTGATTTTAACGACGGAATACAGTTGCTTGCTGTTTCATATCTTACACTGGTTCTAGCTATCTGATGGCAGTTCCAGGATAAATCACATGTACCTTGTTTTTGTGCTATTTAAGCGTTTGAAGCATGAAATTATGACAGAAGTGTGCTAAGAACTAAATGTCAATATCAGACATATTTCCGCATCCAGAATATATAAAGTGAATTGAATATATTTGAATGTCTTGTGTGTGCACCGAAAGAATTAGCTGCGAATTCAGCAAACGTATTTTCCACCAGGGAGTGATGATCTTTATATTTTTCATGACTTTCTGTTTGTACCTCTGCATATTGAAGTCAATTCAGTCCTCTCCTTAGGAGCTCAATAATCAGTCTTCAATTTTCGTGCCAGCTCTCTTAAAAACATCGCCACTTATCTAGATTCTTGTAGATTCTCGTGATCAAAGAAAATAGGATTTGTAATCCTGCATTTTGGCCCAAATGAATAGCTGTTGTGCTCAGTTTTTCTCTTGATTAATTTCTTTTAAATTAATGGCAGCATGCCCAAAAGTGTGAACAATTTGTGTTCTTCCAACATGTCAATAAAGTATTAATATATCATGTCATTTACGTGTTTATCCTTGTTAAAGAGGGATGAATGGAATAAAGAAGTCCATATCTGGATCCCCATCTAAGATTCATGTCACAAGCGGTAAGTCCAAAAACGAACTGCATTCCACGTTTTTCTAAGTTAAATTCCTTAACTATCGCACATGCTACCAATTGTGACAGTAAATTGACAAGATTACAAAGCCAATCTATTGTACAATTATAACTATTAAATACAATACAATACAATTATATCCTTGTGTTGTAGACAAACTTTTGAACTTGCAAAAGACCATGCAGTGCTGTAATTCAAACTGTAAAACTGTTAGCTAAACATGGGTAGACGAAGTTTAGTGTGCTATCACATAGAAGTACATAAAACAAGTAAATACATGCAGAAATACAAGATTATATAAGCACAAAGGCAATGAGCACTGACAGCACATAATCCTTTTTTTTTCAAGCAGGGTTGGACCCATTGGTCAATCGCACGCGGTGCATGCCGGGACTTCCAACCCCACAGATTTCCGGATTTTATGACGGAAACGTCTGGAACTCACTAGTCTGTCATAACAGGCACTTCTCCAACCAATCAGAATGGAGGGCATGTCTGAGGGGAAAGACCCTGCATTTCATGGGAGACTCCACCATACGACAGTGGTACGAACATTTGGTGAAGCTCCTAAAGCTTTCCGACAGACCACTTTCGGACGCCATCCACCAGACTGGACCTCTGCTTGCCCGTGACACAGTAAACAACATAACGGTAAAATATCGTTCGCACGGACCGCCTCTTCGTTGCGCATGGACCCGGACCTTCCACCTACAGTACGTTGCCAACGTCATTGATGAAATCGAAGGAGGGCCAAACGATATTGTTGGAATCTCTGTCTGGGCTCACTTCACCACGTACCCTGTGGACATGTACAGAGAGAGGATGGAGGCCATCCGAGCTGCGATTCAACGGCTGCATCAGAGGAGTCCCCAGACCCTCGTGGTCATCAAGTCTGCCAACACACGGACGGGGAAAGAGCTTCTAGCAGGAGACTGGCTGGCGTACCAGCTGGACTTGGTGATGAGAGAGATGTTTGAGGGGATGAACGTTGTTCTGGTAGATGCCTGGGAAATGACAACAGCACAACAATGGCACGGGGACGCCATCCACCCTACCAGTGACATCGTCATACAAGAACTGGAATACCTGTGTTCGTTTCTTTGTCCTCTGTGATTCTCTGACAAAGATCTGATTACTGTCAAAACATTTAAGTGATTTATTGGTAGAACGATTTATGAAATGTAAGAAACGTTTATTGCTTATTGAAAACCAAAACCAACCTTACGGCTGAATTGTGAGGTTTGTACAAAAGTCGCGAGCATATATTACGCTAATCTTATTACATTCAGAAATACCTTAAATTAAAATTACTACTTACTACATCTTAAGAGTAAATGTCTGTAAGGATCAAACAATGGTGGCAGGGGTCAAAAAATCGATTTGGCTCAAATTTTGCACAGTGATAGTACTTGGCCTACAACCCCTTAAAATAGCTTTCTTTCTGCTCCACACCAATCGTTGCCATGGTAACAGCCCAAACATGTTTTGGGGCCATTTTCCATGATTTGGGCATGCCAGAAACATGAAAAAAGCCAAAGTTTAGGACGCGATTACAAACAAATGCTTAAATATATCGGAAAGACAAAAACTGTGCTGAAATGTCCAACTTATCTGCTTTTCTGCTTTTCTAACATAGCTTTAAAATTTTCAGGAGGTCCGTTTAAAGGGTCTGGACATCCCTAAGACAAAGAGTGTTTTGGGCATTTGAAATATCCCTATTTCTGCCAATCTTTTAAGCGCCGTAACTCCAAAAATTGTGATTTTTTTTCTTTCAAAATGTAATAACATATACCTAATCATATGTGCTATAAAATGCATGTTTGTAAAGTTTGTCCACGTGGTTGTCCTCGGAAGTAGGTCATTTCAAGAAAAATACAATTTTTGTCATATTTAAGATACAATATATACAATACAAAAACAGCAATCTAATACTACTTTAGATAATAAGTAATCCTATTGATTGTCTATCAAATGAATGCTTGTGGAGGTTGGAGTCTTGTTTTGTTGCTGTGTACTTGTCCCTGAAAGTAGGCCATGTTTTGGACATGTGTTAAAATTATCATTTTGGGCTATCTTTGAAGCTTTACAACTGACAAAGTAGGATGTGTTTTGGATCCAATCTTTGTAGGGTAGTACATGCATGTATTGTGTATGAAATAATATCTTGTTGAGGTTTGAGTCTTGTTTCGTTGTTGTGTAATTGTCCCTGAAAGAAGGTCATAGTTTGGACACGTGCGGAATTTTATTATGTTTGGCTAGCTTTGGAGCTTTATAACTGACAAAGTGCATCGCGACTCTTGTACATGTACTACAAACAAGAGCCCATATGAAGGGGCCATGTCACAGGCCTTGTGCGCTTGGGAAAGGCACACAACACGACTTTCTTCACTTCACCCAAGTGGAAATAAGTACCTATCTTCGGTTAGGGGCATCCATCGAATAGGACGTTAAATCAAGGGGATGAGACACACCTCAGAGCACGTAATAGAACCCACCACACCTTTCGTAAAAGAGTATGGCCATGCCGAGGTGTTTGGGATTCACCCGTATGCTATCCTTTAGCATGGATAGCTGACGTGTTTTTAAGGCATTATTTATGGTATGCTACGCTTTATCGGGAACTACGAATCGAGATCCACGATCGAGTTCCACGATCCCATACCTTATCCAAATGATGTTAATCTTTTTGAGACAAATTATAGATTATTCCCCCTTATTATGCAAATAGGATATCATTTGCATGAATTATATATATTGATTATATTCTATACTAAAAGACAGTCTTATTTTAACAAAGAAAGCCATTCTAGCCATTCCTCATAAGTTAAGCAAATGAAGTTATGTTTAATGATGTTCACCTTCAATTAACTTTAAAATGCCCTAGTATGAGATTCGAGGCAGTTGCCATTATCAATTGTAATATTTTCTCATTTTTTATCAATTATAATATTTTCTCATATTTTCTCTCATTATGCAAATTAAGTCTTCATTTACATAATTAATATCTACATGTGTTTCTCTCGTTCTCAATTACATATGTCACAAGCTTGTTGAGCTTGTATAGCCCTATAGTGTAATGCAGCTGTTATATAATTTCCTAATAAATTATGCAAATTGCCTCCATATTTGCATAATTATCATATAATAATGCCAAGCATCACTTAAGCTACCTACATACCAAAAATTACAATGATCCATCTACCCGTTCTTACGTTATTCTCTTTTGAACATTTGTAAACAACTGCCCCTGCAGTTTCTTAGCAAGCCTACTTATCATTAAAATTTTATGATCCTAGCATGTCTTGGTCATGGGATATCAAAACCAGAAGTTCCGCTGCAGTACCATAAGAAGCCACAAGGGGATCCAAAGTCTGACAAATTTCTAGGTCTCACCACGACCTACCCACCTACCAAATATCACGTCAATCCATTAAAGCCTTCTTAAGCTAAGGTCCCAATTGGGAAAAGAGGCCCTGGCGGGTAGTTCCCGGGCTGTTTTTTAACACTTTCGGGCGGGACCCCGACGTGGCCTCGCGGGGCACCCTGTGGCTACCGGGCTATTTTTTGGCCCGTCGGGGCCCCGATAAGAATTTAATTCTGAGTTAAATTCTACCCGGGCCCCGCTGACAACAAAATGCCGTCACAGAACCGTCAAACACCGTCTGGTACCCCTCCGATTGCCGGCAGTCCACCGGGACTAATTTGTTACGTCACAGACCAGATAAACAGAATAAAGGTGACGTGTACTTCGTAAGATGGTAAGAAGGTAAGCAGGCCACCGAGTGCCCGCCGGGCAGCCCCGGGACACCTGCAGGGCAGCGTAAAGGCAACTTTTAATTTTGACCACAACAGCCGATGCCCGCCCGACTCCTGAACCCGGGCGGGGCCAGCCGGGGCTACATCCCGACGGGCACCGGCGTAATTTGGACCTTAGGTTTAAATCGTGTTTCCGGACACAGACATACAGACACACACGAACACCTCTGAAAACATAAAATTCTTGGCGAAGGCAACAGTTTTATTTCATTTTTTTCGAAGCCTTTTAACACTGCAGGGCTAATCTTCCAAGTCTCAAACATCAAAATTACATAATCACATACATGGAAAATACAGTGAATACATTTAAAAAGACATAAATAAATTAAAACATCAACAACGATATTAAAAATTCAAAAACTAGAGGTTGGGGGTCATGTGACACTGTTTGCGATAGCTGAGTGGGTTACTCAGTGTCTTTTACGTGATATAGTGGGTCATTCAACAATCTGACCATTTTTAGAGAGTACAGCGTTCAATATCTTGATGTTACTAGGCAAAACACATTTGCGGGGGTATAACGTCTATGGTCACTTTTAACTGAGCTAACAAACAAAATAGATGTCAATTGCCTTTTACAAGGGTGCGACGTTGGGTCTGTTTGGAATTCTAAGCTATTCCCTTTATTCTAACTCAACAACTAAATGACAAGACCACCTTGCCTGCTACGTTGATGAGAAGTACGTGGGTGTAGAAAGAAAATTTCATCATACATGAATTGTCTACCAGCTGCCAAACCTCAATTACTACTACGTTCATCATACACGTATTGTCTGCTGGCTTTCGAACCTATACCCACATCCACAGACGACAAAGTTGGATCAGTCCACTTTAACTCCTCCCAAGAGAGGTACAGATTAAAGTCTAAAATTCTAAATTATTCTAATAATAAAAGTTTTCTTTACAAAACAACTTTTCTTCACACATCTTGCATTTCACTGCTACAACCGATTTTTCGTTTTATCTTATAAACAATACAATGTGGCCATTTTTTTGGGCTTCAGTGTTTATCACCCTGTTGTTTCTGTACAATAGTACAAGACTCCGTTGTGGAGGCGTTTTGTCTATGGGATATGTTTATTCAATAGTTACATCATCTCCCGGTACTGAGTGTCTATTTTGCTGTTGAAGTCGGTCCGCCCTGCAGACAGTCAAACCGCTCACAGAAGTCTCTCCGTAAGTACAGAATTTCTGAATCCTTCTTCTCCACTGATGTAGCTTTATTCCTCACATTTTGGTGTATACCTTACTACGGGTACTTAGCTGCTATAATACAATGATGCGGATATATTAGAGTGCATATAAAAAGAAAATTCAATATAAGATTAAATAGTGTACATCAGAATGTAGAATGATATCAAGTACCAATACACTAATAGTCTGCAAAGTATGATTGCAAATACCTTTTCTGTTGGATCTTTCTGTTATTGTTGTACCTATATTGTTTTATTAATCTATGAGAAAGATTTGACGTGACGTTAATGCCCGAACGGGGTCCAAATGGATCCCATTTGGTTTCTTTCAAATTTAAATTCCTTTTTGCATCCTTTTAGTGACCTTTGCACATATATTGGTTAAACATAGTAAGACGTTTATTTTGCCATGATTTTAATCACTTAAAAGTGTTCAAAATTCCAGCTTATTATCATAATTTATGCAAAAATTGGATGAGACCTGCAGGCATTCACGAGTTGCACATTCCCAGGATCCTTTGCGCACAGGGTAGGTCACGTGGGCGCACAGGGTAGGGAAAGGTCGCGGTAAACCACGTGACTCATCCTCGGCTCTGGTCGGAAGAAGGTGCCCTAAGCTATCTGGCCGATAGTAGGCTGGGAGCATTCAATTTCAAAAGTCTGTCTTTTTGTCACATTTTCACGTAGTATGTTGAATCAACCCTATCCTATCCCATACCGATATAGTCATGGAGCAAAAATTCGATGCCGCTTTGCCGTACGAACGCCGTGAAAAACTACGTGCCTCCCGCCGCCGGCAGTGGTGTCAGCCATTTTTGAAATTTCCGAGCGCTCGCGAACACTTCCGACTTCTTCCGACCAGAGCCGAGGATGAGTCACGTGGTTTACCGCGACCTTTCCCTACCCTGTGCGCCCACGTGACCTACCCTGTGCGCAAAGGATCCTGGGAATGTGCAACTCGTGAATGAACATGGGTTGACCTTAGACCTCATATGATTGTTAAATTTTCAAACCTCTGAAAACCTGATGAAATAATTCCTGAGGTTGAGGCTACTTGGCAAACTGCATAATAATAAAACAATAATGCTTCCTTGAACACATATGGAGGACA